TGTGAAAATGTTTGGAGACTATTAAGAAAATGAAGATCACAGCACAAGGTAGAGTACCTAACCAGAATAGCTGTTTGGTAGATAAAAGGGTACACACCTTAAAGCGGTGAGAGCCCCTCTAGTTGGGTCCTCTGGAAGCAGGAGCCTGGAGGGAACATGATTGGCTTGAAAGATTATTTTGTTGTGATTGTTAAACCAGCTGCATTCTTCCACTAGCTCACCATGTCAGGTTCACATAAGCATGCTCCAGTGCCTAAGAACACTTGTAAGATACTAAATTCAGCCTCTTCACTCCTTAAGGGCTGAGAGAAAGAGGAGTATGAATGGCAAACTGTGGAGTAAGAGACTAGCAAATCACACAGAGCCAGACTGACTGTCGAGTTGCAAGTTACTTAGTCAGAGTCCCTTAGAACCACCTTAATGACTCAATAAAGCAAGTAATATTTTGAACTAGGTGAATAGTTAAGAAAGATTGCTATAGCAGTCACCTCAATAGCCTTTTCTCACAAATATGAAACATTAGAGAAAAATGTGGTCCTGTAACTCCAAGTAACTCCCAGTGAAGCAACTAAAGAGAATGTTCCCAGAGAAAGTTCTATGGTCCACCTGTCCAGCATGGTCTTGCTACTGGCTAATAGCTTTTTGCTGGCTCTTCCTCTAAGCAATGTACCCATATGTGTGACCTCAGTCTGGAATCTATGCTCTCAGCTTTCCAGAATACAAGCTCCTTGAAATGAGATCCATAATTCTCTCACAAGATAATAATACAAAAATCTGAGTCAGCCCAATGACTTCACTTGGATAACATCATGTAAACAAAAAAATCCTTTTCTGTTGTCTGACATATTGCCAATAATCATTAGAGTCAGTGCACAAACACTTGAACATGCTGTTAGCATGTAGCTTTGAAAGACTGGTAATTTTTTGAACAAAAAATATGGAAAATATTTAAGATATTATATATAAGAAAATGAAAGATCAGTGGTTTAACTTGAAAGCTATAGGGGTAACACTGGAATGAAGGTAATGTGTCTAAAGAATGGATTAATAAAATAATTTTTGCCAACCATTGACTTTTTTTCAGAAATAAAAAGTATAACTACCTATTTGCAAACAGACAATTCCAACTCATCCATAAATGCTGTTTATGTAAATTACATCTGGGTTGTTCAAAACCAGATTCTTCCTGTGTCTCTTTTCCCTTGCCTTTTGCAATCCTCAGTATTTCCATTGAGTCAGCTAAGGAAACCTCCAGCCTGAAAGAATATATGAGTTTTAACCCATAATTTTGAAATAAGTTAAAAATCTATCTTTAGCTTTTTTTTCATCATGAACATAATGTGAAAATTTACTACTTATGTGATCACAGCTGTGTGGATATTTGCAACTTACATGAGGTCTCAGCATCCTTGAAATCATCATACATGCGAAATTTCAAGAATAAAAGAGTGGTCATTGGAAATATATTTATCATCATGGATCCTTTGCCTATTTCTTACTTGTCTTTCATTGGCAATGGCAAGGCTAAGAGCACTTAGTGATTTCTCTTTGTCTTTGTACCTGGACCTCTCGTCATGACAGGATTCTTTTCTACATGGAAAGAGGGAAAGCTACTGCTGTTACAAATATGATCGTTAAATCAGACTGATGCTTTCATTAAAAAAAAATATTTGCATCTGTTTGGATGTTTTTCTTGATGTGTTTTTTCTGTCTGTGTTGCTGGATTCATACACTTAAATACATGTGAATCATAAACACACTGAGCAGAAGCCCTCAAAATGCAAATCTTACACTTTTTGAAGCTAGATGTTAGTCTCATATCTGACAGTGAAATATTTCCTTTTGTCCTAATAAACATGCTCCTTCTTATCCTATGATTTGTGATGATTATCAAATGATAAGACAAATGTCTGCGTTCTGAGAAGAAAAAGCAGTTTTGAAAAGATTTGCAACTGAAAGGTCACCTGGCAGTATGGCAACATGTTTAATGAAGCAAGAGTAACTAGTTTAACATGCTTTTCGAGGATTCAGAAAAAAGGCCTAGAATTCCTCTGTGCCTGTGTATCATGGCACTGTGTTTGGAGGCCTTTTGAAACAGACAAAGCCCAAGAATTGTTAAAGCAAAACTGCCCCAACCTGATGTTCTTCACAAAGATAACTTACAGGGTTGCATCAAAAATTGGCATGGATTAGAACAAGCATTTAAGGTTTATGTGGAAAGCTTTACCCCACACCAAGCATGTACAATGACAAATATATTGAGGTATCATCCTATTAGCATATCTAGGAGTTTGATAGGTGCTGGAGAGAAAGACTTTGGCTATCTATCACCTACAAAGCAGAAGGATCCTGAAGGTTACCTTTGCCACTTGCTAAAGCATTGACTGCTTCCCACTTTGATAGCCCAGGCAAGAGAGAAGATGTTTCTCTCATGCTGCAGCTTCACTTAGATTCTCCCAGTCCTTCAGTTTACAGCTAGGAGGCTTAAGGGGAATCACTGTTTCCTTTTATGACGACATGCCTGCAAGAGATAATAATGCCTTTCTCAGGTACTTTTTTTCTCGATTTTCTCATATGGTTCGGGCAGAGGATGTCTTGCTAAATAATAGAATAGGAAAAGACTCTCACAAGTACAGGCTAAGTACATATTATTCACTTATGTACCTGTCCCAAGGAGAGACTTTGGTTTGAAATGTACTTCCTTAGGCTGATCTTGCTAGACATCCTTAATGAGTGTTTCCTTATCAGACAAGCACCCTGTGCTGGTTTGATTATTCGAGATGGGGTCTGGAATTGCTTGCACTTTGCACTATGCAACTACAGCTATTTGTTGAGCCCAGTGCTATTGTCTTTACTCAATAGATTCTTGTTGTCAGCCCAAATTGAACTCTTGCAGAAATACTCCATAGAAATGAATCTACTGCCAGATATTAAGAGAAAAGTAATACGGCTGAGGCAGAACATTTAATTTCATTGCAAAAGTCTTTCAGAAATCAAATCTTTATACAGCCATGAAACATACAGAAAAAGGTGAAAGGATCACAGCTCCTTAAAATCCTGCTTTAAGTTGTATTTACTATACTTAGCCAAAGAACTGTTGGTAGTTTCTGATGAGTTTTCAGAAAAACAATGAATAAAAAATTGAATTAACAACCATGGTCCTAATGATACCATGGAAAGTATTTGCAGTTTGAGCACTGCAGAACTTTCTGTATACAGTATTTTCTTCTTAGTTGTTCCACTGGGTGGCACAACTTCTATGTTGCCTTTTTCAAAGATATCACTCAATATTTGAATATGTTAAATTATTTTGCTGAATTATTTTGTGTTGAGCGCTGCAGCCTTGAGTTCTGATCACATTGCCTAGGCAGATGAAATAGGGAATTAAAGTAATTGGGAGGCAATTGCTACCATACTGTCTTTAATCCAAGACATAACCTACACCCTCCATCCCCTCTCCTCTTCCACCCCCCATGCCCCCTTCCAAATTGTGGTTATCTGACTTGGAAAAAATCGAATGTGTTAGGAAAACACACAGATCAGTGACTAAAGCTTTCCACAAAGTACATTGGTTTCCAGACAGAAAACAAAAAAAATTACCCCCTTAATGAGAACTATTTGTCAACATGTATTTTTTAAAAATTCTCCTGAATTGAGCACCCTCATGCTCCCAGGGTGGAAGAATAAGGAAATTGTCCTGCATTTTGGGTGTATCCACCCACAGTCTTTGATTTAATCCTCACTAATGGCAAGGAAGAATTCTAGTCTTCCAAATCCTGTCTGCTCAGAGAAATGTCACTTAGAACTCATGACAGCATTTCTCACCACGTGGTTGCCTTGCTGATGAACATTATCTGGGTTTGGCCTTCAGTGTTCTAAAATGTTCTGACAGACTCACAAGACTCTGATGCTTCGAAGCTTCCCTGATTATTATTTGTTTTCCAGTTCTTCATCTCTTTAAGGCTTTTCCTTAAAAATAGATTTTAAAAAATCAATGTATTCCTCACCAATGAGACCACTGCAATTCCCATTTCTAACCCTATGAAGTACTTCAAACCTTAAAACTGGCTGACTCCTGACATGACCAGTCTAGCCTGTTACCTCAGCTTGTTCTCAGGCAGGGGACATACAGTGGCAACAGCAGGACAGGCAACTCCTTTGGTGTTACAAATTTTCCGGCTCTCATTATGGGTGAGTATGACTGAGGACAGAAATTCTGCAGTGTTTAAATGAAACATTTTGTTACAGTGACAGGGATTCTGAGGTATTTCCATGTTACCTCTTATATCTTTTAGTCAGGTGCCCAAGGAAAACCCTTCCACTGTGCCGTGATTGTCTCTCTGTCAGTTCTGCCTCCACCTATATTGAGCCCAGGGGTTAATTTCAATGAAAAGGTAGGACACAAAGCTGTCTAAATGGGTAAAAAAATTGGGAGAATCAGCTTATGACTAGAAAAGAACTCTACAAAGAAAGATCACCCTGACAGAACTCACATTATGTTAACATTTGTCTATAGCTAATCAGTCAAAATGTACCTGACCATACAATCAATTAGCATTTGTGCACAGTCAGATTAGCAAAAACTCTGCTTTCTAGCTGTCTCTGCAGGAACTGGGTCATGACAGTACTGGAAAAATCTATAAGAAAACCATTTCATTAGCTATGCTACTCACGCATCAGCTGATGTTTATATGAAGAAAAATTTTTATTAGGTTTGTGTAAATCTTTTGTACAGGACGTTTATGCTTTTTTCTTTACATATACTATGTTTTAAAATTTCAAATAAATATGTTTGGACTTTGTAGATTCAATTTTCTTTTGCTGAAATCCCACTACAGTTAAGAGAAGCAAGGCGGTAAGGGTATTCTGTATGGTAGATGACAGCTCCAGAGCAGTAAATCAGGATTATATACTGAAGCTCATTAATTTACCCATTGAAGCAAACTTCTACAATTCATTTTTGTGTCTAGACTGCTTCAACTTTTATGCTTTCTTTTTAGGCTACAGATGTGCCTCCAGATCTTTATATGCATGGGATAAATTCCCCTTGAATTCAGTGGAGTTCTACCAGCCAGAAATTTTGCTTCTCACCTTCATTGGGATTTAAATGGTGTGTGTTTGGAATAAAATGTCAGATTAGACCCAGGAGAAAAAGAAATGTGAGGAATACCCATATATCTAAGCTAAGGAAAAACAAAAAAGGAAAGTAGGAACTGATGCTGAATTATTTTAAGTTACCTTTTATATTTGCTTGGAAATTCAAATGTGTCTTTAGCTTTCCCAGGTTAGATAACATATCTGAAGCATTGTTTGGGACAGTAGGTATTTGTGACAAAGCTGATTGGAATAGAAATTTTTAGCATCTTTTATGGCAAGTGTGGGTTTGGTTTTTTTTCCTAAAATAAAACATGGCATTTCTAGGAGAAATAAGGAGACTGCTTTCTTAAAAATCAGGTTTTCAATAAGGAAGTCTCAAAGGACAGTTTTGATTTCCTTTACAGAAAAAAAAAAAAAATTGGTATAAATGTGAATTATCTTGGAAAAGAACTTTGTTTTCTTAATTGTATTTAATATTTGTATTGCTCCTGCAGTTCCAATTATACTGATGTATCCTGATGCAATGTCTGTTAATTAATGTCCTCACTAGCTTTTATGTTATTAGGTCCCAGTTCTGCTGCAGCTCCTACTGAAGAGCTGGGGCTCTGGGGGGCTTGCACTTGGTTAGGTTGCCCTTGCAGATGTCAGGCAGAAACACATCTCTTTGAGGGCTCTGAGAAATGACAGAAATGAAGTTGTTAGGACGTGTGTCTGTGCAGTGATGAGTGATTAACGGGTGACTACGGGGTGGGCCAGATTATGCCCTAACTCATAATCCATGTCTGAAACAAGAGTGTGGCTGGGTTGCCAAGGGATTGTGATGAAGAGGATTTCCCCTGTGAGCACTCCTAGGCTGTAAATACTCTGGACAACCTTGTTCCTCTTTTGAAAGCAAGACCTGTAACAGTGAGAAACACGGCTGTGTGTGAAAGGAGAGGTTCTGTAGGAATGAGAACCTACAGGTAACGTGAGAGTCCTCTTTCTGGGTGCCGACAGGGGAAAACTGGAGATAAAGTTGCTTGCCACATGTTTTCTTTTCTCTAGTCCTTTCTGGGTTTTTTTCTCTCTTATTGTTTTCTGAGAGAGAACAGAGCTTCTAATCCCCTTTGTTTTCCAAAATGCATTTTTCCTGCTGGCAAGTACCAACTGTGAACATGATTGTACCAGTAAATTTCCCACTTAGTGATAGTTTTTCATTATGTTTACAGAAAAGATGAAAACTGCTGGCCAAAACACTCTTTCCAAGGAAAGTGTGTCTCTACTAACTGATCTTCTGAGCACTACCTACAGCTTAGTTTCTTCGTTTAGATTTAGAATCTTTGTTGGTTTGGGAAGAAGGACCAGGCTTTTGCTCAGTACATACAGCATTCCCAAAGACTGTAACTTGGAACTTTTTTCTACTCCTAAGAAAATGAAACATTTTGTACTATTTACTTTATGTGACATTTTCTTTATGAACTATTACCTAAAAATAGCACATATCCAACAGAACAGCAATGAATGCTCATAAAACAAAGTGAGAGTTCATGATTATTTGTGGCTTCTCATTAGGGTGTGAATCAAATCCTTTAAACCCTAAATTGCTGATCTTTTTCTTCAAGCTGTTTCTCTAGCTGTGATACATGCCTAGCTAGATGCATAATTAGCTTTGTCATAAGAAGGACTTCAGATAGAGCAGTGCTGTGAAAACTGGGATGTCTGGTTCCTTTTAAATGGTTGCCTACTGCAAAATACAGAGACTGAAAGGTTTTTCCTTCAGATTGTAACTTTACACTCTTTGCACAGGTGGCTTTTGTATAGTAGCAACAAAGAAAAGCAGTAGATGATTAAAAATTATTTTTAAAGAGAAAATTTCACATCATCAAACTGTTCAAGAATAATTACCAAAGTGCTTTTGGTGCCTAGGTACAAGTGTGCAATAGTCAACAGTAGAATTTGTATCAGTTATAGAGGAAGGTGCAAGTAATAGTAATTTCATACAATTAAAAATAACTCTGTTTGGACAACTTTCTGCACTGCACTGAACCATAGGCTCATGTTCTTTTGGGCTGTTCTAGTGTCATCTATAAGGAAGGAGGGTTCAGGGTCCAGGAATGCCTGTCATAAAAAGTGACAGTTTAGGGTATGCCAGGTATGTTATGTCTATAGGGTATGTTTGGTTTGCTGCTAAATGTAGAAATTTCTGGTATTTTCTCACTAATACTGTTGTTCTTTAGGCCATCTAGCTCAGAGCTAATTTTATCTACATTATGTCTTTGATGGAAAGCATATCCAAGCAGAAAGTCTATTTCTCTGCAGCAATAGAAGGCACGTAAGTAAGCGGAATTATAAAAGCAAAGATACAGAAGGCACATGGTAAACCTTGAAATAAATACAGCCTCTCTTGTGGCAAACTGGTGGTATTTAGTTATCTTATCTGCTGTATTATCCTGTAGAAGGCTTTTAACACCTGCATCTTCGAAAAGTACAAAGTGAAGACAAAAATAGGGCCGTGGCAAAAAGTCTAGCAAACAAACAGAGGTGGTTAATGCCAGCCATAAAAGATAAGGAATAATGTGGAGGTTGTAGTGATTCAAATCATGTAAGGACTTGCAGACAGAGATACAGGGAGGAACGTACTGAAGAGAGAATAAGATTTGCTTGATTTTGAATGATGGATTTGATATCAATGACACCAGAAGAGCAGAAACACTTAGCTTTTCCTGTATAGGTGTTTTTACTGTTTTTAAATTAAAAAGAGAAATAAAAGTAGTAGAGGTATTGAGGAAAGTGACTGACATGGCAAGATTTCTGCTTATTGCCTGAAGAAGAGTTCTGAAACCAATATTTGAAAGAACAAGAGGCATCTTTGTTAAGGTATATATAATTTTATTTGAAATATATTTTTTTAATGAATGGTACTTCCACAGTACTCACTTTGGCTTGTGATTACTACCAGAGGTAAAAAAACCACCAAATTGCTGAAGGACACAAGGATGACTAAAAGAAAAATACTAAATTCTAAATCAGTCTCTAGTAGAATAGACAGTAAATGAGGTGGGACAAAACTCAAAAAATTTATGCTGGAGAAAACTCCTTTAGTCCTGCATTTAGTTATGTGATTGGTGCTATATGTGGATTCAGTGGTTTTCCTGTACATATCTGCTTGCAAAATGGGAAGAGAATGATCTACTGTATGTCTTTTATTTCCATATGTTCAGATCAGTTTAACTACCCCATAATTGCAGAAACATTTTCTCTAGTTCTGTTCCCCAGTGGCACAAGACACATGACTTTAAATGTACCAAGGACTATCTCTTTGCATCAGCACATTAGGTAAACCTGATTCTTTATTCAAAGAAAGAAAAGTGTGTTTGAAAGATCCATGAATTCCAGATGTTAAGGTTAATAGGTCACAATCTAACCAAAATGAAACTCTCAATGAGAATTTAGCTTGGGCAAGGACTGTGGGATTTAGCCTTTAGAAAATTAACAAGGTACATCAGGCCTTCTCACTGTTCTGATTGCCAGAAGCCTGCCTGTACAGTGTCCAGAAATACATTCTCAATGACATCAAATTGAAGCAGCTAATGCAGGAAATGATATGTTCTGTTTTACATGGCCTGTTCTGTTATCTGGACAGGTACAGTAATAATCATACACAGAAAATAGGAGGGAAGTATACTGAATTATTTTAATCAGCTGATGTTTGTCTCATTCTTCTTTTCTGCTGAAAGTAATTATTTTCAAGTAATTGTTTGCTGAGTTTTAAAAATCCCATTATAGTTTTTTTCTTCACCTTGGGAATACTTTTTGATTTTTTAAAGCTGTTGCGCATCCCTCCCACTTTAAAAAAAATTAAAACCCTCATAAAATGTTTACAAGTCTTGTTTATATTCCCATAACATTTTTCATTATGCTGTGACAGCTTCACTGAAAAATTATTTTAATTATCTCAAAATGAATCACACAAAGAGGGAATATGAAAATATAAATCTTATGTCTGACTGTACTTTAATTGCTTCAGCTAATGAAAGAGGCATGAGATATCTACACAATGCAAAAACTGAATTGCATGAAAAATATAACCAGTATTTGAAATGTGCTGAATTCATAGTACTCACTCTGCTTCAGTGGGAAGATATGGGGACTCTACCTGTTTTGCAATGCTTGTTTTCTGCTTCTGGTATGGCAAACGAATTTCAATGGGAAATGGTGTTGAAAACACCTAATAATTATCTCTTCTGTTCTCTAGGTCAGCAGCATGGAGACATTAATGAACAAAACAGAGTAAATTATGTCCCCCAGAAGCTGTGGGTCCTCTCCTCCAACCTGTCCACAAGAGTTCAGTAATGTGAATAGTTCTTATGCAGCTGTAATGTGAGATGATGCTTGTATATGGTGTTAAACCACATCCATAAAATCTCCACTGATAATAGTAAGTAACTTAATCCTACAAAAATTTGACAAAGCAAGAATAAAATGGGTACCAGGAGGCAATAGAATGATTTTAAATATATACACACAGATAATAGATCAAATCTGTAGGTCTAATTAGGTACTGTTTGTTCCCCTAGGAGAAATTTTTGCCTCATCAGATCCTAACCTTGTGATCTTTGACTGCATTTTATCTAAAACATTGCACACAAACAAGCATTTTATTTTTACAGACTTCTGAACTTTCAGCTGTTAGAAGCTCTTGGTTGAAGGTGATGAATTTGACAAAGAACAAGAGTATGACAGAAAAGCAGTGTTGGAACTGTTATTTTGTCAGTGACTCTTCCACCAACATAATGCAGGAATGCTGCCAGGTTATTAGCCAACAAATCTCTCCTCTGTAGTCTAAAAATATCTCCCAGTTGGGTGCCTCAGTGAAATGTCATGTGTTATAAATGGCAAAGCTGATTTCCATCTTACAGGGATAGTGAGGAAGGACTGCAGGAGCTTTGATATTTAGCAGAAAGGTAACGGACATGTTGCAGCACATGTAGCCAGCCCTAAGTAATTGTTTTCCTCCCTTAGATTAGATGCTTCTTATCTTGTGATAATGTCATAAGTCAAAGTCCTGCCATTGCTCATCATGCTCTTTAAAGGGTTGTGGGGGGCAGTGTTCTGGGTTTTCTTAGTGTTGGGATAATAGTCTTTAATAATCTTTCAATCTCAGTAAATTTTCCTTTGGTTCACAAATATTGCACTGAGTTGTAAATCCATGTGATTAGTGGCAGGCATTAAGAGAACACGCTGACTCAGGAAATTAGTAATGATTAGGAGAGGCTTTCTCTTAGGTCAGATCAGCAGTGACGGAACATTTTCCATCTGATGGCTGGTTTAGGTTTAGACAGCTGGGGAAGCTCTGAATTTGTGTAGCACGTCACCTCTCCCTCTAGGAAGTTTTACCTGCTGTGTTTCCTACAGTAATAGTTTTATCCAGTATAGCAGTGGGCCAGATTTGTCAGTAGTGTAAATCAGAGTAACACAACACTCTGTTTTGCTAGCAGTTCTGACTGCCTATGTCTCTAATATGATGACACTGAGACATTGAGCCAAAACTTTCAGACTTTTTCTGGAAAAGCTAATTTATGTGTTGTTGATGGGAGAAAAGATGTGGATATTTATAATTAATGCTCTCTCTAACATCCAATAAAAACATGCAAGACAATCTAAACTTCTCACTATACATAATCAAGCAAGATGCACTGTGTAACCAGGATATAAAGTGTGTTCATAACCAGATATGTTATTTATAACTGTTAAATACTTTTCTCCTAAGAATGTCTAGAAAAGACATTGAAGCAATTCAATGAAAAGACTATTGAAGCAATGCTTGGGTTGCTAATGGATCTTCCTGTTATTTTGTTGGTTTCATATAAATTTCAAGTATTATAAATACAGAGTTCATATATAAGTCAAATGAACAGGTAGTAATTTCAGAAGTTATTGTTGTTGCAGGCATCAGTTAGACATATATGTCAGATTAACCAGCTGATTTTCAATCTCATTGAATGAAGATGAGTAGATTTTCTTCAGTTGAACATACACCTTGTAAATTTGTCTCAAGCTGTTGATTCACCCAAGGAATGCCCCACCAGTGAGCAGCAACATCTGTATTCTTCTTTCTAAATATATAAACTAGCTAGATATTATTTTCTGTTCATCAAACATTTCAGGGCTTTATAGTCTTTCTAGGCTGTAGCTTGGAACAAATAGTTTAGAATCTGTTATTGTGTGCTCTTGCTGCTAGTTCTGTTTCACTACAATTGATGTGTTTACTTAGCTCCCTCCAGTGACTTGATGAGCAAATAAGTCCATGGTGTGCTATCATTCTAGATATTGCAAAACAAGTTACCACAAAAGACAAGATCAGTTCTTTAAGATGTTATTATAGGTAGCATTCTGTAGCAAGATGACTAAATACTATCTGCTAAACCCATTTTAAAATATAATAAACAGAGCATCTAAGACTTACCACATAATTCTACTATTATTTATTATCAATACTTTTTTATCCTTGGCAGAATTTATGCATGAATTTCAACATTAAGTGGGAGTGGAGAAGCTCCACACTCCTAAAAGAGGATTAGTATTTGTAGGAGAAAAAGGAGGAGGTTCAGAATCTGAATTCATATTATGAGCTGTATTGAAGATGCTCCTTCGATCTTTGTAATGATATGCAGAAAAACACTAGCTATGGAAACAAAAAGTATTATGAGCTTTATCCTGAGGAAAATGTGTGTGCTTTTCTAATGTTAGAACAAATTTTACTTTTTTTCATTTGTGAAAATGGTACCATTATAAGAAACATATTGGAAGAACAGAAAATGCAGTTGTTTATGAGCTAAATTGAATCAGGAATGCTCTTGGAGCTGAAAAGTCTGTGCAGAAAAAATTGCAGCAGTATTCATAATAGGAACAGGAAAAAAATGACAGTATAAAGAAAACTGATTAGATTCTCAGAGGGAACTTTTAGTCCCTTTAAAGCAAATGGAAATTTTGCAGCTGATTTCAGCTGTACGACAATTTAAATATGTGAGATGAAGCTTTGGGAGAGTTTCTTTAGTTTTGTGTCTCCCCCACTGAAAGTAGATCCTTAAAGACTTTAATTTTCAGGGATTGTGTTTTCAGTGTGAAAGAAGATTTTGTGGGGTTTTTTTACAATTTCTTAATACCCCACCCCAATTCCTTAGGTACTTCCATAAAACCAACCCAAACTCAAACAAAAAGAATTGCTCATGTTGAGACATGAATTCTCAAGATTTGTAATTTGCTATTTGATTTACTGTAGAGTCTAGGAGGTCTCCCTCAAGACCAAGTTATTATTGTATTGGGCCAAAACCCCTGTAACATTGTGCTGGTCCAAAGAATTCAGAGAGTATGAGAAGTTAGTGTAACACTTCATGAACTGGAGTCAGTCTAAAGACAATGACAAGAATTGAAATTCTGGCAAAGGCTGTTAGCATCTCATTTTCATGCAAAATAAAGGGAAAAAACCCCCACAAATCCAAGAAATTTTTGTTTTTATACTTACCTCTTTTCTACACTTGGCTCTTCTCCTCTGACTTACAACTTCCTGTATCTTCAATGGAAAAAACAATAAAAGCAGAAAAAAGAATGATGAGGACAGGAATAATGTGAAAACAAATTTACATTATCTTGAAATGATAAAAAGGTGCCAAAATTGCTAAAAAGCAGAAATCATGTTTCCACAGGGATATAACCTGTGGAAAAAGTTTCAAACAACACCAGCGCATAGAGGTTGAGCTACACCTGTTATGTATAACTAAGAGCTGGTGCAACCGTAGTTCAGAGTACATTGACATAGGAGGCAGAACAAGGTCTGTTTCCTGACCACCTAGAAGGATACTTTTTCCACTATTTTTTTTAATTTACAAGTACCAAAGCCAGTTTTAGAAAGTGGGAAAAAAGCTAGTGAACATCTTTTACAAAAAATATGAAGTTTCTTGTAGAGATTCAATAAAATTAATTCAAACAAGCAGTTGTCAGGAAATAGTCAGGACTGAAATGTCCTGAAGTCTTGGGACTGATATTTGTTCTTTAAAAGTGCTTAATGATGGCATTTTGCTGATTTTCTGTACTAGGAATTTTATAGTATAAATTATTTCCTTATGAGCCACACAATTTTTCAGTGTGGAATAAAGTAATACAAATACCTTGTATACCTATTACAAATGTCATTGAAAGAGTATGGCCATTTAATGAACTTTAACCCATTCAGTGGGATTTTTTTGTCTGTTCCTGCATGGGGGAATTTGTGTGTGTATGTGTGTGTCTGACTGTGTCTATAAAGTGTGACATCTAGTTCTTCTGGAAATATTCATCATTTCACTGCATAATTTTACCCAAAGTGAAACACTGTCTATCATTTCTATGCTTTTTATGAAATTTATATTAAATTAAGCAGGAAAATTTGGGTCAGAAAGGTTAGCTTTGTGCTGTGTTCGCAATAAGAGCACTGCTCATTCGTAACTCTGGTTCCAGTGGGAACGCTGCTCTGTGTTTTGTGTCATTGTTCCCAGAGCTGGGGAGTCAATGCCATGCTCAGAATATCTTGCAGCTTCAAGCTTCCTACAGTGGCTACTCTTGCAGCTCAGTCCTTCTTACAGCTGTACAGGCCAATGGCAGCCACTATCAGTGTGACATTGACCTATCTGCAGGGGGACCTCTTTCTCCTTTGCTTTCTGGCTCCTGCTCTTCTATCAATTTAATTGATTGTTCGGGCAGGACAGAGCAGATGCTGAGCATTTTAGTTGTGCGCTGAATGTCAGGCCAGGGCCACAGAGGGCTTGGGAGTCCAGAGTTTGAGAACATGGCTCTAAGGCATGAGGCACAAGTTTGGAAATCAGATCAGTGATGAAGTAGTGGTACACTGTCACTAAAGGACACAAAATGATTCACATGACCACTCAGTGTCAGAACAAAAACCTGTCACTTTATTCTCTGACTCCAATATTTATAGATTCTTGACAATGACCAGGGATTGGATAACTAAGTTACCACCTTCCCAAGTACACTGGTCATGAGAAATGTCCCTCAAAAGACATTTCTTAGAAGGAATGAGATAAACAATTTATGTTTATAGAACTTTCATGGGAAAGTAACTAAGACTATGAAAACATTATCAGAAGGCTTAATTTTCAGGGTGACAGTACACCTTGTGCCTCAAGAAGGAAACTGTTGTCTTCTGTACTAGCTCACACTGATTCCTCAGGAGAGGTGGTCTTATTCCTGCTTAGAATGAAGAACTTCACAGCAAACTTTGTGGGCAGGAACACCCTGTTATGTATAGCCAGGTCTGTGATGGGTCAGATGATGAAAGAGCATAACCTTTTCATCACCAAGTGAAGAAAAATAAAAATGGGCCTCCAATTTGTAGACCAAATGACATCTGTGTAAAAGCAGCTTAAATGCTTTAGTTCATTTGGCAGTGAGACAGAATTGTTTGTACTAGAGTTGTTACAGATAAGAGTTTAGGTTTTGGTCTTTTAAGGCTGTCAGATCAGAAAGGTCACCCATCTGGAGTATTAAATGTTGATCGCTGAGTCCAAATGCTGGAGTACTTTTGCTAGGTCTTCTGAAACTAGAATGTTCTTGTGTTGCTAGGCTAGATCTCTCTGAATCTGAGTTTCTGCTTTTATGTTATTGTTTAGTCATGATTTATAAAATAGTGTCTCTCTTTCTGGGCTGAAATGAACAGATAGGGGAATCAACTGATCTGATTAACTCTGTGTGTACATATACTCAGTCTACAAATACTCAAAAAAGTAGGAAGGATTATACTCAGATGTTACCTATTTAAAAATATTACCCAATCGCTTACTATTTATGATGCCAAAAGGGTAGATTGACCAAGGAAAGTTTATTATTTTATGCACTATTTATCTGCTTTTTCATTCACAACAGGTTTAATTTTAAAAATACAATTTTTCTAAATATTTTTTCAGGATGCTGTTATTAAATGTAAATGCGGCATTTTGCATAATGTCAGTGTTAACATTTTGGATTAGGATTTTAAAGAGAAGTAGACAAGTCATGAGCATTTCTTATTATTTATGTGCTTTTCAGTTCAATAACATCAAGTCAGCTGGCAAAATTTTGTAGAAAGTAAGTCTCTACAACATGTAAGAAATAGCTCTGGAGCACATTCAAAGTGGCTTTGGCAGGTTTAGGGTTGCAAAATTCAGCAAATGCCTCACATAAAGTAGTCTGAACACAACAAAAGATTAAAACCAAAATAATCCTTGTCTGATAAAGTAAACTGTATAATTATCTAGTTCACCCTATGCCTCTGTTAGGGGGGAAATGTCTCACAGAGCAGAGTCAAACACCTGTTGCACAATTGTCAGCCTTGGGGAGAGTGAATGACCCAAGGGAAGTTTGAGAAAACAGAGACACTGGGAGGGTTGCATTCTCAGCCATGCTGCCAGACCAGAAATGACAGTCCTTAATCCTGGATAGGTCTCATGCAAGTTGGGGCCCTTTAGGTTGGTGGCTCTGCTGAGAAAGCAGGCCCAGAGAGGGTTCTTTGACATAGGCCTGTATGGACAGAAAAATACAAGGCAAGAAGATGCCTAAAAGTAGACACAGTGACTTGGTGTTATGAGAATATAGCAGCTTGCTTTGAGCTCACAGGAGTTTGTCTGGATGCTCCTATAAATTTGGTAATGGGGGTCTCAACATCCAGGTTTGCCCTAAGGTGTCCCAATGCTGGCACTGGCAGTTCTAAAGCGTGACCTTGTGGGAACCTCAGGGACACAACATGCACAGCCCTGTTGAGTATCCGGAAGTAGAAAAGGCACATGTCTAATGGAAGATAATTCCTGGGCATCATTAGGTAAACTATGTTTGGAGGTCCATGACTGAAAGAAGGAATACTGTATTCAAACGGCAGTTCTGAAAATGGGATTTACACAGTCTGAACTGCCCGTGATATTGTTTCTAATCTTGAACAAGAACCACAATTGATTTAACACTGAGCACAGGTGGAGTCATGACAGATTTTGCTTATCTATTTCTATCTTCTTTGCATCAACCCTGCAGAAAGGTGATTTCCCTATTGAGTGACAATCAGGCTACATTGCTATTAATAGAACTGAAGAAGAACACATCTGCTCTACCCTCCCCTCTCACTGTCAAGGCTAAGCACCTAGGAGACAGCAAATGTTTCTGTTTACTAATGGAAAAGTACCTGGACAGACCTCACTTGCCCTGGGAAGACTAAAAATTGGGCCACAGGCCCTCTTCAGATAGAAAACAAAGCCTGGATAGGAGGCAAACAAAGCTAGCTATGAAGCAATACAGAGAAAATAAAGGAAAAAATTTCTATTATCTCTACTCATCCATATGAATTCTATACAAGATGAACTTTCTAGACAGCTTTCCTCTGCTCATCAGAATATCTGTGATAGAGGAAATATGCAATTTCCCCAATCTCAAGCCTTCTAAGAGGACAAGAGTTTCTGGTGTTGGGAAGTTGCGTCTCCTGTCTAGCCTGTCTCTCTCCAGGTAGTCTATGTACTGCACAACCCTGAATTGGAAAAAATACTGTATAACAAAAACTGAATCTCATTTCATGATAAATTTCTCTTTGAGTAGGTCTTTCCAGAAGCAGCCTTCAGAGCATTCAATTGGTGAAGTCATTATGGTTTGGAACCGGGAAACTGAGGCAGCACTTTGCAGTCCTTTCATATAAAATTGCAAGCAAAATCACAGAGGCATCATTAAAAATTACAAAACATAATTGCTGTTTATTCTTTGTGTTGCCTGAGAGCTACAGTGACAAACAGAGCTCTGCTTGTGTCTGTGCAAACACTGTGTGATCTTACAAACATGTTTTGAATGCATTATGTACAATGATTTGGTTCAAGGACAATTTAAAACTTTCACCAGCTTCTTCAGCAGGCTTGACTAAAGGTTCCCTGACCTCCCTGGGATAGCTAAGATTGCAAAGATGTTCAGAAATTATATGTAAAATGACAAAAACTGTCTCATGTGCAGTTTCCAAAGGGTACTATATAATGTCTCGCTTGGACAGAATAGAGTGCCGCTGCTGGGCCTGTCTGACCCCCAGTTTCTGCTGGCAACAAGCCCAGATAAACGTCCCGGGGGAGAGCCACCATCCGGGGTTTCCAGGCAGTCTCCAGCCAGGGGTAACCCTTAGGAGCACAGGCAGAGGCCTTTGGTGACCAGCTCTTTTAGAAGGTGATTTCTGCTCTGTGATCAGCTCAGTTCAGCCCAGCCAGGTCCCTTCAGGAGTTACCCCAGGTGACGCTGACAAGAGATAGGAAGACCATGTGGCATTCCACAGAAAGTCTTTAATGCAGGCTTCAGCGAAGGGGGCCAGTGATGATCTAACCACTGATCTGGGCAAAAGCTGGGTTTTTTATGGGGAAGGGGAGAATTGGGAAGGGGACCAATGGTCTGAGATGGGGATAAGATGACCAATAGTTAACAGGGAGATAACATGTGTCCTGAGGCAGAAAGGGGTCCACAGCTCAGTCACCATGACTAGGCAGTTTTATCTTATCTTAGGGGACAGATCTCCAGGGAGGATGCCTGTCATACTGGGCTTCCTCCACAATAGAGTTTGGATTCAATACACTGCCAGTCTTTGAGAGGGCTCAGATTGATGCCCAAAATGTCTCTTCATGCAGAGGGACCTTCTGTAAATAGTAAAAAATATTTACCTCCTACAGCAATTGGTGGACTTTCCTAATAAAAGAAAGGAAGAGTTAAAATATTAATATTTAAAAATACCTTCAGAAAACAGCATCTCATATGCAATTGTTTTGTTAGTATGTAGTTTGTTCTATTAGTATATTGATAAAAGTTAGTAAAACTTCAGATCTCATCTTTGTAAACTGTTATCTAGCTCTGGGCAGTTCTGTACTGGAAAACTGCTCTAACTCTGAGGTAAAATGTGATATCCTGAGTGATCTAAATTTATGTGAAGTGAAATGAATTTATGAGTATCTCTATGGAACGAATGCAACAAATACCACATCACCTGGTGTCTCTTTATTTGGGATACCACAGTGCCATCATAGCATTGTAATAACTTTGATTATTAGAGTAGTCAGAAAACTAAATTTGCTGAAATGGGAATGATTTCTCTGATGGTGCACTCAAAGTAGTTGGCTCCCAGTCTTACTGCAGCTGGTTTGTGCAGCCACAAAGTGTCCAGAGATGTCTCACTTGCTAAACAGGCTATGAAACATGGCTTGATAAAGACTACTTGAGTCAGTATCTAGGAATACTTAAACACAACTGAAAACTGTGTCCATACATGGTTGTGTCTGGAGCTAAGAACTGAACTTTTTGATGGAGAGCAAGATATGAAGGTTTTATTTCCTTATCAGCTCTGTGATTCATGCATGGTCAATCTTTTGGACCAGGTATTATCAACATGAACTTGTTTGGACCAGATTTCTATTGGATAAAAACTATTAGATAGACGTGCCTGCAGCCAAGTATTATCAAATGCTTGGAAAGATCTTCGGGTATGGGAATTACTTCAGTCCTTCTGTATGAACTTGTGCTTGTACTTTGAAAAGGTGCTTCAGCATTTTCTGCACACTGCTGGGGAACAGAACCCTTGAAATGGTTGGAATTATGCCTGTGAGTTCAGTATAGGTCTCCCCCTCTAAATGACATGCTTTATACTCTGGAAAAACTTAGCACTGTTGTAGTAAGCCTAGTGCATCCCAAAACAAGTCCCTGTAAATTACAAAGTATAAAAGCTGTAATTTCCCCTACTCTCCATGGGTAAAGGATACATATTCATACATAACATTATTTTAATGGAAATCTCTTACTCTATTTCTCGGTGAGGAGGGAATAGGTAGATAGTGTCAAAGTGGGTAAATATTTCTCTAGTTTATGGATGTATAAGTTGATTTTTCATTTGATTTAACACAAAGACTTTACACTCCCAGGGGAAATTACTTCATATTTTCAGTGTTCCTATCTTTCAAGGACTAATTTGTTATATACAGCTGTTCCAAGGTGGAGGTGAAAAAGGAATGAAAGGAGAAAAAAACCCTAAACTTCAGTAAAAGTTTTGAAAAAATCCAAAAACTCGTGAAGTATCATAGGACTTAGCCAAGTCTTCTCTACTGCCCACTAGGCTAAGTAACAGCTGTTCTGCATGCTTGATTCATCTGGGAAACATTTGTATTTGAATAGTTTTCACAGTATTTATAAATCCTTCTCAGAAAAAAAAAAAAAAATGCCTATGTAAAAATACTATTTCATTGCAGCATCCTCGCCGCGGTACAATTTTAAATGAGAGCAGAGTCTAACTTAGTGAGAATATTAAAGGGATCTCTATCACAATTTTTGGGGTGAGAGTTGTTACCATTACATCACTTTTGAAGGCAAATTATCCCAAATGTGCTGCTCATTAAGAACATGAATCTTTTTAGAAGAATAGGAGAAGTGATGGGGGTTGGGTGTCCTTCCTTTTGTTCCATCTCACGTATGGAATTCTTTACCCATTTTCCCAGTTGCGGGAAAACCTGATGGCTGGTACTTGGTGCGTGCTTGAGAAACACAGGGAGTTTGGCTGGGCCCAGGAGGGAAGACTTGGCTAAGTCCTATGATACTTCACGAGTTTTTG